GCCGTCGTCCTTGTCCCCCGCCCGCCTGCTCCTCCCCTTTGAAACTAATTGTCTTTATCCCCGACTCAAAAACGAACGGACAAGAATTCAGAAAACTACGAACGCTACGATTTCAATCACTCCAGATGCTGCAAGTCATGCCAGGATAATCGATCAGCGATAATGATCATGGCGGACCAACGCTCTTTCTCGGTGCCTGCCGTCCTCATGACGGAACCGGGCTCGACTATTCCCGCCCTCCGCTACGAGGACACCGTCGCCTTAGCAGACCCTGGAGCCATCCGATCCGCCTCGGTTCCTACTCCACACGACTACTCGCTATGTTCAGAGAGCAGATCGGCGTCCACGAGCGCATCGTCGTCTGAAAACCCCGGGAGCAAGTTCGAGTCAGTTGCATTGGCGTCGCATCAGGATAGCGGTGCAGAATTGGGCCTCGGGCCCTCGTCGATGTCGATCGCAAAAGATAAGAGGCTGACGCCGCCGGAAGACGACCATTCTGCTTTCAGTCGGCGGTCGTTGCGCAGTATTCCCAGTATCATTGTCAACGATGCGGGGTCGCGCCCCGGGTCGCGGCCTGGATCGCGGCCTGGATCGCGGCCGGGCTCTCGACCGGGGTCTCGGTGGTCTGAGCGCAAATGGAGCGCTTTGAGAGGGAAACGGTCTGGAGAGTTCGACAGGAGGCCGGAGTCACCGCCGCCTCCGCCTCAGATTGAGAGGCCGTTCAATAAGATCTCGCTTGATATCCCGAACGGTTCACTTGACGGCCTCGGAGCGCAGTCCATGCGATTTTCGAAACGTGGGAGTCTTATCAAGGAGGAGGATAGGCAGCGCCTCCAGCGAGAAATCTCGGAGCAAGAATTGCCACAGCAAGACGAGTCGCAGGCAGCGGCAGAATCTTCAATGGAACAGTCAGCGCAGAACGAGACGGGTGAAACAAGTGCGCCGGCAGCTTTGACGGAGGAGGATAGCTTGGAGACAGAAGTCTGTGGGGCCCAAAGACGCCGGACGAAGCCATTGTCGTCTTTGCGGGCGAGGCACAGCAGCGTTCCGAGCAGGGTGATCTCGGCCGACGAGGACATGCTTTCGCGTCGGGTCAGATTGATGTATGAGAAAGGCGAAGAAAATGTAACCGATTCGGAGGTGGCCAAGTCCCTTGCAATGGAGAATGGAGTATTGTGGGAGGAAGTTGCTCCCACTCCAACGGAGACCTCCGCCGTCTCGGGACCCAGCGCCAGTGGTGGGGAGTCGTCGGTTGGGCCTGACAGCAGCAATTGTTCTGGTCCAAAGAGGGAGGCCCACGAACTCGCCGGGGGTATTGAATACTGGCAGAATATCAAGGCGGGCGATGTCGATCGGTACGGCTTCATTCGGAGCACTACTTTCAACTCGGCCGACGGCACGGAGCACAGTCCCATCCAACGCGTTACTACCAGCCTGCTTCTGGCATCAGAGACACCGCGACGAAAACATTCCATCCGACCTCCGTCAGCCCTGGCGGGCAACCGATCTTTTTCGGGCCGATCACCGACACGCAAGATATCTGCGCCATCTATCCGCCCATCGTCATCGCAAAGCACATACAGTTCCACTCTACGACGGTCAACGTCTCGATTCCGCCAGGCGGCTAATCATCTTCCGCACAATCGCGATCGTCGGTTCAAGGATGAGGCGGCTGACATGCTCACACTTCCAAGCGACGTGGCAGCCTCCGGAACGGGACGGGACTCCGCCGTTGCTCGCGCGATGCGGAAGAAAGAGTGGGAGCGGGAGGACAAGTGGACCAAGATGGCCAAGCCTACGGGGAGAACCGCACTCGGCGGTGGGATGACTTTTGAATTCGACACGCAGAGTACCAAGTTGATCGAGCGGACATGGAAGGGTATACCGGACCGATGGCGCGCAACGGCCTGGTACGCATTCTTAGAGGCAAGCGCCAAGCGGCGCAGCGACAGCCCGACGGAGGAGGAGCTTGTCGAAGCTTTCAATGAATTTCAGTTCATCTCGTCCCCTGACGATGTACAGATCGACATTGACGTCCCGAGGACGATAACCAGTCACATCATGTTCCGCCGCCGTTACCGGGGTGGTCAGAGGCTATTGTTCCGCGTGCTGCACGCAATGTCCTTGTATTTCCCCGATACTGGCTATGTACAGGGCATGGCGGCGCTCGCGGCGACTCTCCTCGCCTACTACGACGAGGAGCATGCATTCATCATGCTTGTCCGGCTGTGGCAGCTACGAGGGCTGGAGCGCTTGTACCAATCTGGTTTTTCTGGATTGATGGAAGCCCTCGGTGACTTTGAACGAGAATGGCTTGACGCAGGCGAAGTCGCCGCGAAATTAAACGAACTGGGAATCCCGCCCACCGCGTACGGTACCCGCTGGTATCTCACGCTGTTCAACTACTCCATCCCCTTCCCCGCGCAGCTTCGCGTGTGGGACGTCTTCATGCTCCTCGGCGATGCAGAGGAACCGCCCGGGAAAGGAACCGCCAAGTCCGAGTCACAAGTCACAAGTGCGTTCGGCAGGGGCCTGGATGTCCTCCATGCCACGTCCGCCGCGCTCATCGATGGCATGCGGGAGATCATCCTCGAGTCGGACTTTGAGAATGCCATGAAGGTCCTCACTAGCTGGGTCCCTATTCAAGACGTGGAACTCTTCATGCGAGTGGCCAAGGCGGAATGGAAAGTTCATCGTCGCAAGAAGGGGGGCTGAAAGCATGAAACCCCTCGTTCGTCTACATTCGACCAGACCACTGCATGTCCCGTCTAATCTCAATCACTTGCATCATATGATATCTATAATCATCCCTACACGTCCGCACCAGCCATATAATCCGACCGCTGCATTGATGACCGGAACCCCGCACATGGGGTTTTGACGACCCGTCTCTTTCACCATATAATTTTAACGGCCATTGCATTACATTCCGAGAGGGCAAGATACAATTTCTCTCGTCTCAACCGTCTCGGGGACCATTTGTCTCACCACCGCCGAGGGATAATCAACAAGCCCTTCAGGCCACTTCCCCGAGATAATCCTAATACATTACTATCACTCCTAATACCCTCCTACTCCCGTCGCTGCCCAGCAACGGATATAATACGTCAATGGCGATCACATGCGTCGCGTCAGTGCGAATAACTCCGCCACCATCGCTCGCTTCAAATACTCACTCCCCTAGGGTCCTACTCCCACTACCCAACCTCGTGTCCTCATCCACAACCTCATTCCTTTGTCTCGTATCGTCCTTTTCTGGTTCCATTCCTTCTGTCGCTGCATCTCTCCGGGGCGTGTCTCATCCTCTCCTTTTTCCTTTCCTGTCCTGCCCTGCCTTGCCCTTTCATTTCTGCCCTGACTTTGATCAACTCGTGGACCAGACCGCCTATATACATTTCATCAGTCGTCCCTTGAAGCAAGGGCACATCCTAGTCTGCTTTGATTCTAATCCTGATACCCCACACAAGGCCCGTCTTGTCATATCCCGTTGGGTCACGATATGTATCTGTCTCGTATAGACGTAATCAACAGATATTCTTGCCTATCAGCCAGGTCGTATGTGTAATCTTTTGGGCTATTTAAATAGTAGAACAAGGTACAATAGATCAGCCGCTGTCTAGTGGTCTGGTTTATGTCATTCTATGTAGTCCACATACTTTTGTACAATCCGCAATTCCCAACATGAGGACAATGTGCGGAACAGTCTTCGAGACTGACAGGACACCACATCATGCCACCAACGGCGCCAGATGTACTAACTGTTATACATATCGTCAAGTCCTGCAGAAATGGATATTCATGCTCACAACAATATTTCACACACATAAAAATAAAAAACTCCGCAATGAGCAGGTACATAGAAAGGAAGAAAAGCTCTGATGAAATGATATCATCTAGGAGGCGAGAAGGCAACTCCTAGAACGATAAGAATGTCAAGAAATTCATCACGTCGTCTATAAAGGAATAAATCAGGCCCGTGGGGCGCCGAACGATCTATCTGTGGCCATTTTTATCTGAAAGGCCAAGATGAAATATTGTAAATTTCGAAAATATCTGCCACGAGCGAGCTCGGGTCTGCCGTTCAATTAAGGCTGCGCAGAAGTTCCAGCAGCATCTTCAGCCTTGCTAGAATTGATGACACTGTCAGACATGTGGGACGGAACACCTGCGCTGCCGGATGGTATATCTCCACGATGTAAATCCTTCGTAGGGCTCAAATCACCCGGCCGTTGATTCGAGCTCGATGCGCCGGGCTTCTGATTTAGCGAATCAGTACCTTGGTTGGCTTCCCGATGATCTTGCATTCGCGAATCAAGTGAGCTAGATGCGTCACTGCGCTGCCGGTAATGGGCTCGAGAATCTGGCGGGTGACCAGCGCTGGCGATCGGAGAACCAAGCCGGGAGGACGGCAAGGAAGAGGAGATGCCGTCCGAGGGACGTGAGGATGGAAGAGGAGCCGGCTGATGGGGTATCTGAGACTTTCTTTTTCGACTTGGGGGACTCTGGTACTCGTAACGGCGCTGCGACTGAGCAAGGGATATCACCGGGGAGTCATGTTGGTTCTTTGCTGGAGGCGGCTGGCCTGGTGGGACCCAATGGTGAAAGTATAAGGACGGCGGAGAATGCCGTGGCGGATGGTCTTGTTTGACTCCCGCAGGCTGAGACGGAGGAACTGACGAGCCAGGTGCATACTGTGCGTTACTTAGTGTGACTGGGACATGCTGCAAAAGTGTCTCGCCGTTGATGCGAGACAAAGGCGGGGCACTGGCAGTTCCAGGGCCGCTTGACAAGGGAGGACGTCCGAAAGACCGATTGGTGGGAGAACGTCTATGAGTAGTGAGAGGCTGAGACAGCACAGGCCCAGGAATCGGCTGTTGCTGTGGTGGAAGGCTCGCGTACGGATTTGGTGGTAGGACTTGTGAGTCACGTCGAATGTCTGCGGGGATTGCCAAAGGCGGATGCCGCTGGGGGAGTGAGGGTGGCGGCGGTAGGTCGAGTGCGGATGGCTGTTGCTGGTGCAGAGGAGGAGCTGAAGGGTGTGAAGGGGGAGGAGGCGCATTACTGCGCGTGCCAGGATTCTGAAACGCGTACTGCCGTATCAATTCAATAGCAGACTGGGGAAGGCTGCCGCCACTGATTCCCGCGAAGATGAGCGGAATCATCTGAGGCGGAACTCCCGACTGCAGCGAATCACGAAGCATGCTCTGTTCGATCTTCCGCTGCTCTAATCGGAGAGACTCCTGGCGTGTCTTCTCCTCTTCTTGCCATTTGCGATCTTCCTCAGCTTTGGCCTGGAGCCATTGGCGTAAGTCCTCCGGGGAGCTCCATCCCGGCGGCGCGGGGGGTAATTGGCTCATAGGTGCCATGGTGGAGCGGTCAACGTCCGGTTGGAGATTAACTGACGATGGAGGAGGCAATCCTCTGCGCGAAGAGGTAATGGAATGATCCGCAGCCGGTTTTGGAGGCGTAGCGGCAGAGGCGTCTGGGACAGTAGGCGGGGAAGACCGCGGGGTTGGAACAGATTGGCGGACGATGGAGAACTCATGAGGACCTTTGATCCTATTTTGAACGGAAGGTTTCAGAGTGAGCAGCATGTCGCGTCAACGATGATAAAGTCGGAACCTTGGCGAGGTGGGGGATGGAGATGAGTAGAATGAACGCAAAAAGTTTGTCTAGTTCAAACACTGGTCTGACAGCATTGGCAAGCGCAGCAGAGCAGCAAGAAATGACCAGGACAAGCCGCGACTGGGCCTATCTGTCGACGTAAGCGAGCGACAGTCTGTGGCGTGCACAAAGATCACAGTATGTCTGTCCCACACCAATCAATGGCATCAAATGACCTGGGATGCAAACGATCGAACATGGATAGAGCGGGGAGAGCAATGCATAGCTGACGGGAGTAGGATATGATCCAGATTGGGCAAGGGCCAGGGTCGATGTCTGACAAGAAGCAAGCCAGAGGAAGGAGAGAGGTGTAGAAGAATTGCGGATGAGGGGATGAGGGGATGAGGGATTGATTGTATATGATCTCTGAAAAAGAATGAAATACGAACAGATGAGCGATGCGGATCGCCCCAGATCGCCCGAAGAGGAAGGACCCAAAGAGGGAAAGACCGACTTACCCAAACAGGCCAAGTTCCCGCCCACGACTGCCAGGTTGGGAAACCAGTGGAGTCTGTAAGTCCAGTTAGACTTTGGACAATAAATATTGTTGATTATGTAGTATCGATTATTAATAATTCGCTGATTCTAGGATTTCTAGAAGATGTGGATAAAGCTGTCTTATACAATCCTTCATTATCATCCTCGTCGAATCTTATGCAATCTGTCCTTTATTTGCAGAATACTTACACGAGTCTGGAGTCTGATGGTTCACCCGGAGTGGAGCTTAGTCGCCCATTGCGTAGTTCTGGCGCTCTCTGATGACGACGAATGTGGACGAAGGCTAGGGCTAGACAAGTGTCTATCGATTGGGGGCGTTTCTTGCAGGAGTACGTAGGCAAGAAAGAAGCAACCAATTACAGTTGGCAATTCCCCTTCTTGTTGGCATAGAATTCTCCGACAGAGAGAGAGAGAGAGATAGGTGCTGAAGCGGGACGGTCCGAGGCTGTTTTCATAGATACACCTTTTGCAAAGAGCAGTAGTCACTTATGAAGTGAGGATATACACCGTCATGGCAGATAACCTACTTCGCATCGACTGCTGAATCGACCAAGGATATATCGCTTAAAAGAATAATAGATTACCCAATTAAACTTACCTATCCCCCCCGCCCCTCCTGCCATACTGTATGTAGTCTGTAGCAAAATCATGACACATGCCCAATCTCAACATGGCGATCTCAATCAAACTCAATGCTTGTCTTCTGTTCTCAAGATGCTTCTTGATTTCTTTGCTCTCACAAAAGTCACATCTGAGTGTCCCGATCTCTGGAGGAAAAATGTAGATGCCTGGAGTTTCTCGGCGACAGTGACTTATCGGAGCCGAAAGTGGATCGGTTGCGATTACTAGTTTAGTATATAGGGTTAGAGCCATACCATTTAGAGTTAGTGCTTCAGTAGCCCCAATCCTTAGCTGGGCATTAGTGCCGGCTTAGCGCATACCCCACTCAGCCAAAGTGGTTTAGTTCCACCATGCATCGACGAATGAAACAGAAAGGAGGCTTGAGTCCCCTGTAGAATCAATGGAATCACGAATCTCCAAGACTCGAGAGAGAGAGATTAGGAGCTTGAGAAACGATGAAAAGAAAGCTCTCCTTCCGCATCGAGTCATCCCTCGTCCTAATTCGGCCGGGGCTCGCTTCTTTTCTCCTCTTTTGTATTACGAGCAGTCTACGGAGTAACAGTTAATCTTACCCTGAATCGTTCTTTGTCGATGATTGAAATTGCCTCAAAGTCGGATTCAGGCCAGATGTTTCATCTAAACAATCTCTGACATCCTCACTCAATCTTCATCCTCACTTGCCTATAAAACCTCACGCGACCTAGGATTCATCGCGTCCGCATTCAGTAATCCTAGAGATGATCACAATCCTATTTCGTTTGACGCAAATGAAGTCTTTTGATTTCTTCCAGTCACATGTCCACCTTTCCATGCTGGAGTCTGGATGTGATGTCTACGGTGTATCATGATTTCTCCCCATATTATTTCCAACCCCATACGGAGTATACGGAATACGTTTCAAGACGCCGACTCGCAGCCCTTGCCGCATTGATGATACAATAGATGACCAGAAGTATATACGCGAATCCAATTCAAGACTCCCGGGGGGTATCGCTAGCTCGCTACTGCTGTAACCCATTCCAAAGTGCACCTGATCCCCTTGCATCATCCATCGCGGTCGAACCGGGTCAGAACCTCGGGGGGAACCGTGGGAATGTACTTTCGCGCTCGTTCTCGGTTGGTTCCTCCCCATCCTGCCCCGTAGCTGATCAACATATCGGTACTGGTAGGTAAAGAGAAAGGCAGAGTAAGCGACGGATCCAGGAACACCGAGTTCGTCCCGTTGCGCTCGTCGGGCCGTGACAGTTGCCCCGGACGGGGCGACGCACTGGCGGAACCAGATGATGTCATGCTGCGTGCGGATGCCTCAGGGGTGCCGGGAGCTGGGGTGCTCAAAGGCCGGTCTTGCCCAGGGGTCTGTGGACGACCGTCTTTCGGTCCTGGCTCGTCCGCCGGCCCTTGCTCCGTGGCACCTTGCAGTTTCAGCTGCTCTCGGGAAAGCAGACTGGGATCGCGTTGAAGATCTAGCAAAAACTTCATCGCTTGTTTCGTAAGACCCTTTTCTCCCACCTCCGGTCGATACGATTTCACTGCATGAAGCAGCTGGGCGGGAGTCAGCTGCTGTAATTGCAGCAAGGTAGTGACGAGAGACTCATGGTCGTCTCCTAATGACGAGAAACATTGCAGCCACTGCAGGAGCTGAATGACCGGCGCCAGGTGCTTGCGCGCGCTTTCCATGGTGCTTTCACCGGTGCACGTTGTCGACCCGTTCTCATAGTGCTCCGGCTGCCTATTGTTGGTACGTGCCCAATCCTCCAGGGTGGACACATTCATCCGGATCTGCATGGCTTTGGTTCGTGCGAGGTATCTCTTGGTTGTCATGATTCGATTGAATAATTCAGCCCCAAGCCAGTAAAGGAGCTGCGATAGGATCTGGGTGATGATGACCGAATGTACATCGTAGAGATCGAGGACAAATAAGGTCGAAGATAGTAAAGAAGTAATATTACGCGGCGACACTTGCGCTCTTCGCCTTGGAGACGGTGGCCGAAACCGCTTCTCGGCAGGTTCCGGGGCTTTTGACTTATTTTTGGGCCGGAAGAGCTTCCATTCATTCTGAAAGGCCACATCTTCCAGCCCTGGTATGGTCTCATGATCCAGCATCGCGGCATCGAGCACCTTGTTCATCCGACGCTCAGCATCACGGATGATCAAGATGAAGATCTCATTGATGAGCTCTGCCAGGTGTAGTTGAAACTCGACAGTCGACTCTACCAAGCCCGCGTCCTTCTTCAGGTAATGCAGAAGCAGAGTAGCGTTCGACATCCAGAATGCGAGTATGGTCATGTCCCACTGATGCCGTTCGACAACGTCATTGATCTTCTCCGTCGCCGAATTGAGGAGATCCGCCAGCAGTTCGGGGCTTGCATGATAATGGGCATATCGCGCGCTGAGGAACAGGAGATTTGCGGGCACCGGTTTCTGTGACGGTGAACGTTGCGGGGTCATGTTGGTGATGATGATGTCGAGAATTCGTTCTAGTTCATGCTCTTGGAACACGAACATCTGATCATTTAAGCATCGGTCCCAGACAAACTCTTGCTGCTCGTCTTCCAGATCGTCCTCGTCGAGCGACTACACGGTCAGCGTCATCGAAGCCTCTGCGGAATAGTGTACTTACTTCAAACTTCTCGTCGAGTCCCAGACTCGATAAATCAACCTCCAGGTTGATAGCGCTCTCCTCCATCATCATGCGCCGTTTCATCTCATTCTCCGCAATCTCCTCCTCAAACCGACCATGTGCGAACCCGGAATCGTAAAAATCATCCTCAATCGCGCTCGGTCCGAAATTGTACCCATTCTCATGTAAATACTCGGAGATCTCGCTCCCCGGCTGAGCAAAGTCAAACGCGGTCCCGCCAGACGAAGACTTGATATCCGGCGAGGCACCATGATCGAGCAGAATCTTCGCAATGGTCTTGTGCCGGTTCGTCATCGCCCACATCAGCGCGCTCCACTGATTTCGATCCTGCTGGTCAACATTGGCCCCGGCATCGAGCAGCGCCGAAACAACATCCTGATGTCCCTGTTCTCAATCAGCACCTCACCCAACACCCGACGAGGCAAAAAAGTATCCAAATACGCACAAAACAGCTCGCATAGATCAGCGGAACCGTCCCCTCCTCATCCGGCATATTCACATCGACGTAGTCCTTCGCCTTGCCCCCCACAAGTTTATGCACGCGGTCCACGTCGCCATTGCTCGCCGCCATATTCAGGCTCCGCTGCAGGATATTTCGCTTCTCCGCGTCCGTGAGCTTCTCGTCGCTCGCGATGGCGTCCTCGTCCGCGTCCAGCGATTCGAGTTCCCGGTGCGCCGCCTGCGCCGCCAGCATCTCCATTAACCGAGCGTCGCTGTCCTCCAGCCGCGCGGTGATGGTGGACGCGTTATCGTCATCCAGCGAGGCCGCGAGCCCGTGCCCATACTGGGCGTGGAGGCTATGTTCTTCGTCGTGTGAGTGGTCGTCGAGCGCGAGACTGAAACTGAGTGGTTTTGCGGCGACGGGGGTCGTGAGGAATTGGGATTGGCCTGCGGGGCAGGAGAGATGCATTAGCTGCCAGGGACTCTTTTGCGTAGTCGTAACCAATTCAACCAGAGCCGTCGAGACTAGGTCCTGATAGACCCCGCGACGACAACAGCGCGACGGATAAAGGTATACCACCCACCTTGCCAGGCATCATACATCTCCGTCTCTTGGAGCATGGGCACAGAGCGCCGATCGTCCAATGATGTGGGTAAATCATCCGGAAGAACTCTGGGTTTCTGATTTGGCTGGAGATCCGTTTCCTCCAAGTCATGATCTCGATCGAT